ACAGTTGAGGGAACCGCTGTCAACTCTGCCAATGTCGGTCTCCCCAAGATGCAATTGTACAGGGACGGGCAGTCAATGACGAGGAAGCGGACCTTCACCTGTCTTGTAGCAGTTCCTTCCCCGAACGTCACGAGGAGCTCGACATACCCCCAAGGTTTGGACGTCGAGCCGTTGAAGCCTTGAAGGTCCGAACCTATATATGGAGACAGATGTGAGTCGTCCAGTTGTAAGGTCCGGAACAGCTGAGTGTACATCACGTCGACGGAACTCCCTTCGTCGACCAGGATGCGATGCACGTCAAAATTGGCCATCTTTGCCCTTATCAGCAAGGGGATGACTGCGTTCGGTGCTCCGCCGGGGAGCTCTTCCAAGTAGAAGGTGATAGGCTCTGATATGCCCCTCACCATTTCGAATGTCACAGTTTGTGGCGGAGCTTTGTCGACCAGTTCGTCCAACTTCCTCTTTGCTGAGTTGATGGTGAGGTCGTTGAACCCGCCCCCGTTGATGACCATGGCGGAAGGGAAGTATTCCCACCTGCTGTGTGTTGTCAGGGGCTCCTGCAGGAGCTCGGGAAGTTCGAAATCCTCGGGCCTGGTTACCGAGAAGGCGGTCTGGATTGGCACCGACTCGTCAGATGGTCGGGCATCTTCTTCGGGCTCCTTTGCCTCGCGGGCTTCACGACGGGGAGCGTCGTTTCTCCTGTACTGTGCCAGTCTTCCCCCTTTGATAAGGGTTTCAATGGCGTCCTTCAGGTGGACGCAGTCCTCTGTCAAGTGACCATGACTCCTATGGTACTGACAGTATTTGTTTTTGTCTACTCCTGGCTTGGCAGGAGCTGGTCGGGGACGCTTGACGCCACCGTCTTTAAAATCTGTGCTTGCACACTCCGCCAGAATACGCTCGCGGGAAGCCGTGAGCGGAGTGTACTCAGTAAACCGGCCAGAGGGGCCCCTTTGTTCCCGGACCTCCCGGGGTCTATCTTCCTTCCTCTTCTCTCCGGTGCGTCGGGGAGGAGGGTCTTGTCTCGAGCTGCTGCCATGATTGCGAGCCCTGGAGTCTCGTGCCCTGTTGGCAGCTTCTCTCTCCTCGTAGTCCATATATGCTCGGGCTTTGTCGAGGAGAGCATCAAAAGTTGCAGGTGGCTCGATGCCCACAGCTTTCCTGAATTCTGTGCCGGGGAGGAGGCCCCTCTCCAGCAAGTACCTCTTCATATGGTCCGCACAGAGGACCTGGATTGCTTCCCGGTTGAAGCGGTTGATGAATTCCCTCAAGGTCTCATCATGTCTTTGGATGATGGCCTCGAGGGCTGCCTCGGTCTTCGGGTGGCGACGAGAGGCCGTGAAGGAACTGATGAACTGATTCTTCAAGTTCCTCCACGAGGTGATGGAGCCCGGGGCAAGTCCTTTGTACCAATCCATGGCCGCCTTCCTGAGAGTTGTTGGGAAGAGACGGCACTTGATGGGCCCCCCGACATTGTGATAGTGGAGCATGGCTTCGAACCCGTCAATATGGTCGACTGGGTCCGCCACTCCATCATACTCCTTTAGGTGTGGGGGCTTCTCCATGCCCGGGGGAATAGGTGCGTCCATGATGGCCTGCGACAGGGGACCGCGGGGGTCGTCCTCGTCGCTCCTTTCTGGAGAAAGAGAAGGGGTCCTGTAGTGGTGTCTGGCACGCTGGTCGTGCTGAGATTCCCTCGAGCGTGATGCTCGGTGGTTGAAGGTCACACGCCCGTCTCTGTTGTGCCTCCTGTCGTGCCTTGATGGGTCGCGACTTGGCTCTTCGGCAGGGATGACGGGCTGTCTTTCATACTGGGGCCGCCTCTGCCTTGGTGGGGGAGAGGGGCTCCTAGAGTTCTCCCTGTAATGTCTCCGCGGGGGAGTAGGGTGTCGAACTTCTTCGACCCGAGGAGGTGGAGATGGTGGCCTCTGATGCCTCCTCGGGGGTCGTCGGTCATTTTCAAGTGCCCTAAGTCTTTCTCCTTGGGCAAATAGGAGATAATTTGTTTGGTTGATGGCCGCGAACAGTGCCTGAGTCGTGGCATCTGCCCCGGCAGGGACTTGGACTTCATAGAACCGGGCAGCTTGGCGGTAGGCGAGAGCCTCCGGGTCGTCTTCGAGTCTTGGAGGAGGTGTCGAGGACGACGCAGTGTTCCCGTCCCTGCGGGTGGAAGGTCCAGGGGCGGTCGTCACGGGGATGGTATTGTGGCCGGCATCACTGGGATTGTCCAGATGCCCATTCTTGTCCGCGGGACCGTTGTTGGTGTCGAGGACGCGGGTGAGTTGTTCTTCACGAGTTGGGGTAGCCATGACAGTGAATGGATTGAGCTTTGGTCTTTGAAACTGTTCGTTAGACGGGGAAGCTGTTTCCCACAGACGGCGCCACTGATCTGACCTGATCAGAAGGTTTGGACCGTCACGGCTTACTCCGAGCTGAAGGCTTTTTGAACGAGGAGGGGGGGGGTACCTGCAAGGCACTCCGATGCTAAAGTCAGTGGGAGTACAAGCAGATAATAGAGTTGAGGTTAGAATGATGAATACCTGACCCTCTGGAAGCAGAGGGTATTTATAGCCCCCAGCGCTGGGCCAAGGTTCCTTCATTGGGCCGGGCGGATTTGGCCCAATGGAGGAACTGCCAGGTTCTACGTGGGTAGTGGGGACCAGCACGTGGTCCCCTTCCTGGATATGCTGCATGAAGTGCGGGCGGACGGAGACGCGGTCTTTCCGGAGTATCGTTGGGGCAATGGAGGGCTAAGTCTACCCTAGCAAGTTAGCTCGAGACCATGTCGAGCTGCGCAGCACGGTGCCGAGCTCGACGCCAAGACCTCGAGCTGGACAGCGAGTGTCGAGCTGGAAGCCAGGACATAGAGCTGGACGGCAGGCTGTCGAGCATGACTTCATCGTGGGGCTGGACACCGAGATGTCGAGGTGGACATCAGGGTGTCGGGCATGGACGTGACCCCCTTTGCCCAGTGTGGTCCGTAGTGAGTCCCTTTGGACTGGGCCTTAGTAATGCTTTTGGGCCTGTCGGGCCCAGTCCAGAACAAAAACTTAGATGATAAAACATCACACCTAACAATGATATTGAGAATCAAAGTAGGATAACAAACATATGCGATGGCGAAACATCGGCAAAAAAGATAATAAAATATCAGGGTAAGAACAACAAGATGTCAACTTAAAAGGGTTTAAAACAAAGCCAAAAGGTGCACAAACAATTAAGATTGGTTTGTATTTTTTTACTTTGAAGAAGGGTTTAAGTTCATTAGAGATGTTTTATAATTTTCCAAGAAGAAGGTTAGTTTTAAGATGCAATATGCAAAGAAAAGAGAACAACTAAGGGAGACTATCGTATTCTCTAGCCCTAGTGTAATCATACAATGATGGCCCTATGTCAAGGATGAAAGAGGAATATCTACCTAAGTGAGCATACATGGATAAATATCCTAATGTCTAGCTCGAGGACTATCCTAAACGAGCGGTCCTAAGGGGCATGGTAAATACCAAACAAGTGAGCAAACAAGTGCTTTGCCAAAAGCACACAATCGGGGTATACTGACTCAGGGGATGAGTGTATGAAGAGAAAATGCTTTAGCTAAGGGGAGCAGATCACCCAAAGCAAACAAGCAGGACACGGATGAAAACAAAAATATATATATGACGTCCAAAGCAACTGAACACCTAACCAAGGTATAGAATATTGAGGTAGGCGATAAAAGACAATATGAGCGCTCACAGAGTGTCAGCATCACCCAATGCAAACTCCCGACAAAGCGTAGGGGTTTAATTGCAAAACTCTTCCCTACTTGACGGACTTGATACATATGACTTACACGACTCTGAAGCATCGACTTACCACATGAGCTAAGGATGACACAAACTAGAATGTGCGGGGTCGATTACGGACCCTCCCCGCTCGCCTCCTTTTGAGGACTTATCATCTGTAATATAATGCAGGCACAACTATAAACACACGCACATAATACCTACTTTAAAGGTAGGATTTTAAATAAACACAATTAGCATACAGAAAACGGTGTCTGCTACTGGACTTTAAACATCGACTTCGAGCGCACACTCTTTATTTCCTGCTTCTCATAATATCTAGAATGCAGTAAAGTGCTGAAATGAGATAAACCAGAGAAAACACCGAACGAACAAAAGTTCGTAACACAGCAAGCAAAGCAGAGAAATCCAGAGAACTTCATGCAAGCATGCAAAATACTCCGCTAATGTCTCATGGTGCGAGAAATCTCCATTGGAAGCTTACACAAAACACACCAAATGAATTAGAAAATAACAAGGAAATGTAAGCGCAACTCAAGCATCCATTCAAAGATCAGAACCTACCACTAAACCATTCATTATGTCAAGAAAATTGAATCAAGGATACGAAATCGACAAGAATGTGCTAAAATCCTAATTTTAACATGCAGCAAGCATTAATGCAATTAATTCCTAAGGATAATAGAAAAATTATGGAAAAAATATCACGAAGTCAGGGATGAACATACTAATATTCACACAAAATTTCAGCCAAAAATTGTGAAAGGAAGTATCAAAATTAATTGCTTTACAAAACAAAAATTCAAGAGAAATTAAGAATTAGCTGGGAATTGTAGTGAACTGGAAAGTGGTGCTGCAAGGTAAAGCTAGGCGCTAAGCCCATTCCCAAACAAGGTCCAATAAGACATTTTTGTTTTGATGTTGTAGTCTCTCTAAAAAAAGGGTAGAAATAGGCCAGAATAACGGTGTAACATCCGCAGGCCTAAGGAAGAGTCCAACAACTCACAAAAATCACTCCAATAACACAGTCAACTTCCCATTTATTCAGCATTGTCATTATTATTTAAAAAAGAAACAAAAACTAAATAGGAAAAAGAAGAAGAATTGCAAACGATGTTTTGGTACAGAAGAATAGGGTTCACAAAACTGTGTCTCTTCTTCTTCAACATTCAGCGGCGGAACTCGCGATTCAACCACCCCCGCTTCGACTTCCTCATGCCTCTGCCGCGATTCCGATTTGTGATAGATCCTCTCTATATCGTTCTTCTTCATCGTGAATTCGCTCATCTTCTCGCTTCGACGAAACTTTCCTCTTCGATCGAACACCTCATCACAGCGCCACCATGAAAAGATGTTTCAATAATGCATAAGCTTCGTTCTTATCTTTGATCTTCTTTCTCAGATTCTGTCTCTCCAAATCGCAGCGCTGATTCACGAGGTATCCGTCTTTTCCAGTTATCGAGATATCGTTGTTGCTATTTGCATATTATTGATGTGAATAAGAGAGGAGTTGAAGGTTTTTGTAGAATTGATGAAGATTGGCTTTGCGATGAAGATTGATACGATGGTGATGCTGAGGATATTTTCAAAGAATGAAGGTAGTTGAAGAGTTATGCGATGAAGATGATGAATTGAAGCAAATTTGAAGGAATCACGAAGTGCGATGAAGATTGCAGGGTGGAAGCAGAAGGTTATGGTGATGAAGGTTGAAGCAGCGCGAGGCTGGAGATGAAAGAGAGGAGATGAAAGAGAGGAGATGAGCAAGTTTTCTATGGAGTTTTGGAAGATGAAGATGAGAGAAGAAGAGAGAATTTATGTAGTTTTTTTTGCAGTGATTATCCTCAATCTGAAGAATGATCCATTTAGATGAGGAATTCTATTATATATGCAGTTGGAGGTTGCAAAGTTAGTTAGAGCTGCGAAAGATCTTGGCCTTTGGATTTGAAGTTCTGTTACAAAAAATAGAAGGATCAGATCGGTTCTCATTGAAGCTTGCAAGGTTAGTTCTGTGAACATAAATTCTGTCATGAAGAGTTATTATTGTTTTTAATTGTTTTTTTGAATTTCTATTTTTGCATGGTTTGTTATATCAGTTCCTGATTTTTCTACCCATAGCTGATGCAGGGCCGGTTTAGTTTTGTTTGGAAATGGTTTTGAATTGGCTTGGTTGTGAATTGTTTTTCACTGAACACGACAAACGAGCATAACATCGAAGCTCAACGCTAAGACTTTATTTAATATGAGTTCATCTACAAGGCTGACATGTCTAAAATGGTTTACGAGCAGTTTGGATTTTGTCATGGGGACTTGTATTCATGATATGCGATTTTTGAGCCTTTTGAATGAATGTTATTGGATGACGATTCTGTTTTAAGCTGCAGCCATGTATGATATGAGCTTAACCTGACGTGCGACCCGTATGTCAATCTTGTCTCCCCTTTTGTAATGTAACATATCTTCAGGACTTGTCGAATCCAGAACTAGATTGCATCCTGTATCAATTTCAGCATAATGTTTATAATTTTCCTTTACACTTTTAGGATGCCTGCCACAACTTAGGCATACAAAACCTTGGTAGATAATAAACCCAAATCACACATTTCAGCCAACAAACTCCAATCTACATTTTAAATTACACAAGTTGAAGAAATTCCTGTCACCCAACTCAATTCTTGAATCAATCATCTCTTTCAGTAACAATTCAATCTTTTGGAGATCTTTTCCTTTCAATGGACTAAAAAGAATCATATTAAATGTCTGAACATTAGGTTCCAAACCATTATCCTTCATCTGGTTAAACAATATGTTGGTCTCTAGAATTAATCCACTTCTAAGTTGTGCACGGATGCCAACAGCATATGCTCCACTATCAAACGGACGTTTCTGGACTGTTGCTGATCTAAAAAAAAGGGCAGCCAAGTGATACCGACCAACATTTATAATCCCACTCATTAACACATTATGGATGAAAGCATCATTTACGTGATACATCATAGCACTACTTTGATAAACATAAATTGCTTCATCAATTCTTCTCTCAACATAAAGTGAACTTAGTAGCCCAGCATTAGTATATTTATCCGACTTAAAACCTTTAACAATCATATTCTCATAGTATTTAAGAGCACAAGAAAAAAAAAAAAACAAGACTTAATAAAAGGGCTTAAAACAGCATTGCAAAAAACTAAATCACTACCTATATATCCGCAAGCTCGGACTATTTTGGTTAAGAGATCAAACTGTCCAAACTGACAAACTATAGACAATAAGTAAGGGTATACAAAACAGGTTTCATATTTTTTTTCCCGACAACCGATGAAAAACTTTAATTGCATCATCCTGCATTTTGGGCTTAATAGACAATCAATTAACATATTAGAAAGAACTAATTGGGATCTATGCCAGTAGAAATCATGTCATTAAACATATGTAATGTGAAGATCACCATGTTGGATTCCATAAATACCTTAATTAAAGCCTCTTGAGTTTTTTTGAAAAGAAAACCATCTGGTTTTGACTTGAAACACAAGTGTTGTACCCCAAAATTTTCCCTCCCATATTTCTCAAGACATTGCAAGAAAAATCTCCAAGTGGCTCAAGATTGCTCAAAAGTTGGATAATTAAGCTATCTCCTAAGACAGTCAACCTCAAATTAGGGTTTTGTGTTGCATCAAGATCCTTGAATCTAAATGACCTCAAGTACTCTCAAATGTCCTAATATGTTGTCAAGGTCATCCATGTCAAATTGCAAGCCTTGCAGAGGAAGTTTGCTCAGTCAATTGCTCAAAGGATACAAAAATCGACTGTGCTAGGACAAAAGTCAACTGTGACCTATAAACAGTCAAACTTCAAGATTTTTTGTCAACATTCTCATTTTGAAGGGTATTTCATCATTTGATCAAGGGTTGATCATGATTCATCAAGTATTGCTCAAAATTCATCAAGACTCAAAAGTTGCTAAATTAAGGTTTTGTAGGAAAAGTCAACTCAACTTTGACCAAGCATAACTTTCTCATACTTTATGAGAAATGACCCATCCAAAGCTCATTTTGAAGATGATGCAATTTCCTACAATCCATCTTCATACCCCAAGATCAAAAAATGCACTCACAAGAATTTTTAAATTTGGACATTATGGGTCATTTTTGAAAGTCAACAAAAACACCTTTTTTGCCAAAGCTTATAACTTGAGTATGAAATATAAAAATTAGATGAGACCAAAAGGGCTGGTTAGAGGACATCTCAAGCTTTCTAAAAAGTCCAATAACACTTCCAAAAGTTCAAAATTGAAGAAGTTGTGCATTGTTGAAGTTAGGCATTTTTGCAAAATTGCCAAAAGTCAACTGTCCCCAAAACTTCAAATTTTGTCAAATAAGCCCATTCTTTTCCACTTGATTTGAGTTTGCCCCATTGCACACGTGTCCTAGCTTCAGCCATGTGTCCATTTATCAAATTTATTATTTTTATTGAATTATTTCATTTTAAATTAAATTAAATCAAATAAAATCTCAAACTTTGATTACATGAGATTTTTTGCTATTTTCAGGATTGGATTCTCATCAATATCATCATCAAATTCGTATCACACAAAATCATGTGCAAAAAGATGGTTTTTTGACAAATTTGGCAAGCTTTCAAATGGAAATCAAATCAAATATGCAAGCCATGAAGGGAGAAGATTTGGACCATAATTCTTAACCTAATGCATTCCACAATACATAAGGAAGCTTAAGACACGAAAACAAGGGTTAGAGGCTGCAAGAACAATCAAAACAAAACTTGAAAAAGTGGTGAAAAAGCTTGAATATGAATTCATACTTAGAGGCGATCTCAGAAGCCAAGAAGGGTCTCAATCGATTCCTGGAGGTTCACTGAGTTGAAACCAACCCAAAGCAGGCCTCCGTACACACTCAAACACGCTGTAAGTATCACACTACCTGGCTCTGCATTTGAGTTCGCAAATCATTATTCCTGCACCTTTTGTACAAATTATTTGCATATTCATAATCCTCATCAAATTTCTAAGCATTCTGCATTATCCAATTTTGTTTATGTGGCCAATGCTGTGAGGTACCATAACTAGAGTTTCGTGGTTTGTTTTTGGGTATTTCTCTTTCAGGAAAAATTGGTTGTCGAGAAGGGCATGGTTGTGACCGGGATGATGAGACGAGCACAACCCTGTCCTTAGAATTTATTTCCACGGCCTACATCAGATTTTGGAGGAGACGCGACTTGTAGTGACGACTTGTGTCCGTAGATATAGGTTTTTACAGGTTTTGGCTACGGAAGGGGGTTGAAGATGATGCATGGCGAAGCATGATTCGCCCATTCAAGCATGGCGCGCTTTGTTTTATGTTTTCTGGCATATTAATTCGTTTTCCCTTATTATTATTATTATTTTGTATATAATGAACAAATGAAGCACAATAGCCTAGTGGCAAGCGAGCGCTGGCAACATCCAACAGGACCTGGGTTCGAATCCCAGGTCCTCCAAATTTCTCAATGTATTTTTTCTTCAGGTAATCATATGCTGATCCAAGCGCGAAGTCTATCATGCACCCTCAAGCATTTGATGGCCAGATGACCATAGGCCAAATCTGGTGGCCAGAAATTGATGGTCTACCATGGACCAAGTCAACATGCGCGCAGGGAATCTCAGAAGTCAAACGAGGCCAAATTCCAATGGGCCTCAAAATTGCTTCCCAAACACTCCAAAGCAGGCCCATACCCCTCTCTCTATATATTTTCTTTATTTTGTTTTTTTAATTATTTAGTTATTATTTCTATTTAATTAACTAACCAATCAATTTTTTTTCCTTTATAAAGTTAAAACCAAAAAAATATTTTCTTTATCAAATTAAATTTTAGTATTTTATTTTTTATTAACAAATTAATTTAGGCTATTAATTAGAAATAACTTTAATATATTTTATAAATAATTAAAATTAACTTAGACATAATTAGGTTTTTACTAACATTGATTAATTTTATTTTATTTCTTTAAATACCAAAAATCCAAAAAAATATTTATTTTCATTATTTAATTAATTTATTCATTAATTTAGTAATTAACTTAGATAATTTCTTTCTTAATTCAAAAATAAACAAAAAAATCTTTTCTTTAAATAACAAAGGGTCAAAACCCTACTTGCGCTCGATTTAATTTTCCCGCACGCGACCTATTTATTCAATCTTGTACTTGTTCCCGGATTGTAATAGTTTAATAGGACTTTTATTATTTTTTATCACTTTATTTATTTTTAAAGGGTTTGTCTTTGGCGATGTAAATACCGGACGCCTTGTAATTTAAATTCCGCAATTTTATTTCCCGCAAATTATAACTGTTAGATATTTGATAATAGGATAGCATGACAAGACTGAATGTTTTAACCTAAAATCAACTTAGATCACCATTAACATGTACAAAGACAATAAAATTAACTGAAAACAACACACTCGCACATGCGCACTCTTAGGGTACATCCCACTTGGTTGCCTTCGTACACGGTCATTGAGTATAGGTCACTTTAGAGGTCGTCCTCTTGTCTAAAGATCATAGTCGCCTCGAAACGGTTGCCTCGGTTATCATTGCCTCAAACAAATGATCTAAGACATTAGGGTTACCGCTAAGGCGTCCTAACATTGCTTTAGTGACCATAAGTCCCGCATTCGAATTGACCCTTAAACTCCAACAACGGTGCTACCTACTCATCAATAGCAAGATAACATTGTCTAAAGGAAATTAGCATAGAACGATTCCTTTTTCGAGTAGGTAGATGGTTCTTAAGTACTTGCTCTTTCAAAAAACAAAAACTCTTCACACTTACACCTTTTCGAACAAAGTTTTCAAAAACACTTCATTACACTCTTGAGGACAGAAGCAAGAGTTAAATCGAAGTTTTCAAACAAAAACTTTTTCAAACCCACAAGCACAAAGAAAACAATTTTGAAAACAATATGAGCAAGTACCTAAGAGCCCGTGGATAACCACAGATAGAAAGGGTGCTAGCATCTTCCCTTTCTATAATCTACCCCCCGAACCCGAGAAATATCTTGAAAAAGGAATTTTCTGTGCTTTTTCCTTTCCTTGTTGGATAAAATGAAAGTCGGTGGCGACTCTTGCTTACCGCGACATTTTGCGAATACAAACGCAAAATGCAAACCAGCATTCCA